CACACCCACACCCACACCCAAGTTTTTTGTTAAAAAATCCAGTGCTTGCGTGTCGCTGAGTAAGTCTGCGAGTCTTCTCTTCAATCACACCCTCAATTTAATAGCCATTCACACCAATATCTACCATTGCACACATCCAAACTCCACATTCTTATGTGTAGAATAATAAATACTATTCTTTAACTGTCATGATGATAAATCGTCACATATTAGTCATAAAGCCTTCTTATTTCCAGACGCCCTTGCTTTGATAAACGCTCAAACTCATTTGTTTTCAATGGTTTTACAATGGTTTTATGAAAAATTGTATTTAGCGTAAAAATTTATTATTTTATTTTCGTTTACAGTATAGCAGCTTTAAATCTTCTTAATGTTTAATTAGATCAAAAATATTCAATCAGATAGAGCTATAGTTTTCGAGATATCAACAATACGCCTCATCCAGACTCAAAAAAGAGACTTTGGTGGATGCCAAATGCTCTTATAGTTAGTGTTAGCGGTTGTCCTTTCGGATCAACGCTAAGTTCGTTCTCTTTTCTTTAACGGAAAAAAGTATGTATATGTGTGTGTGTGTGTATACGTACACTTGCACACCGTCTTTTATTTTATCTGTTTTTAAATAATGGAAAACACGTACATATATAGTGAGTGACAAAAAAAGAAAAAAGAAGAGCGAGAGAGAAAAGAAAAGAAAGAGAACAGGGACTAGATGTATGGATAGTAAAAGAGAAGACTAGATGTATCACCAAGAAAGAAATAGAAAACGAAATGAAAAAAGAAAATAAAAATGAAGATAGATGGCGAGTTGTAACAGTGCGACATCACTGTAACATACTCCCATACTGGACAAAAAAAATGTGTCCTATCAACATTTTTTCCCAGAGAGGACTAACAACGATAAATATCATAACAGTAAATGAAACAACAAAATAAACATAACAATATAAATAGTTAAACAATAACTGAAGAAAGAAAGAAAGTAACAAAATAACAAAAACTAAAATATGACGTATGTGAAAAACTTCTGTTTTTTTTTTTTTTTTATATATAAGTTTACATATAATAAACGTAGAAATACAAATGTAACGAAAAATAACAAAAGAAAATAGAAAATTTTTTCCAGAGAAAAAAAAAATATAATAGTTTATAAAATAATGAAGAAAACGACTAGTTTAGATAGATATTGTGACAATAGGAAAAAAAATTAATCCATAATGAATCATCGCATGGACATGACATATTGTGTGTTGTTTCGTATTTGTTGATCAATGTATTATGATTCATATAAGATAAATAATATAAGTAGATGGCTTTTGTAGAAATAATTTAGTAATAGAATTATAGTATATAACGATCATCTTATAAGATGATCTGCAATGATGTTGTTTATACTAGAATAAAATTGAAATTATGATTCATGATTATGATTTATTTGTGGTGTTGATGATGATGAGAATAATGAATATTTGAGTTCGATCGACGTTGTTGTGAATGAATTTCATTGTAATGATCAGTAGAAAATAGATTTCTAGTTTCACGTTCGTATTTAGATAGTAATGTTGGATTTTTTATACCAATATATAATGATGTACGATTAGTTAAAGAAGATGTTGAAATATTTAAAGCACCAAAATTTATAGAACGTTCACGAAGAATTTTCTTGACTAATGTAATTGTAAATCTTCAATCGATGCCTCTTCTTATAATTTCATGTTTATATAATTTGTTCCTTTTTTTTAAAGTACATGTACGATTATGAATTTTCCGTTTTTGTTCATTGGATATGTTTGCCCGTTCATATTGAAATTCATTGTTTGACGGGTTATTTATATTTATATGTTGATATGGTTGTTCAGGTTCATCATCATTAGAGGATATTTCTTCTACATCAGGATTGTTTTGTTGATTTAAATTTGATGATTGATTGATTTTAAAATTTTCATTTGGTAATACAATTAAATCATTTCGGTCTGATGAATCGGAATACATTGAAATATCATAATCAGGTTCAGTAGATAATTCATTTGCTGGTTCTTGTTGTTCGATTAATTTCATGTTAATAATAAGTTGATGCATTGATAAACAATCATTGGCAGCGTATGTTGTCATTGTTTGTCGATATGCAAGTTCTTTGGAATTTAAATGAACTAATGTTGGATCAAGACCTATATCGAATGGTGATCGGGAACGACGTTTATCTAACCACTGATTGAGTTGATATGCCACGGCATTTTGTAATGACCAAGGATTATTTGGTTGAATACCTAAACATGTTTCACATATGCATAGGATGTTATCATTAGTTGATGATAATTTTGGTTTATGAGGATGGTATTGCTTCCAAAAAATTTTAAATTCATCTTGTAGGTTAATATTATTTGACAAATAAATTTGACAAGATGAAAATAAATTAAAATTGAGAAATTTTTTTAATTCATCAATAGAACCCCAAATATAAATATTTTTATTTGAATTAAATAATGCAACAAATAATTCTTGAATTAAAATGAATGTTCGTTCATGCATGTTCGGTAAATGACGAACTTCAACAAATATAACATACGAAAATAAATTTTTTTGTATTATTTGTAATTGTATAAGTGCTGGTTCGTTTGGTTTTCTGGGAATGCATATTGATTCAGTATCTAATGTAAATAAATCTGAATCATTTATTGCTTCAATATGATGAATTAATGTTTGTTCAGTAGTTTTATAATTAATATAAAAATGTTTATAATTTAACGGTTCAAATGATGGATAACAAGATGCAAGTTCATGTTCATGGATTTTTTCCCGAAATATAGCACGAAGATGTTGACGTGGTTTTCCAGTAATGGTTGATGGTATGTGATTGAATTTCCATTTAGCATCTTGATATTCTTCTTCAGATAACATGACTATAATAATAAAATAAAAAAATATAATAGATATTGATTCACTTTTATAGTGGATCTGTAATTTATTTATTATCATTTCTTGTAGGAAATAAAAATGTAGTCCCAATTATATGAATCCAATTTTTTGAATATGAAAATAAAGGAATAGATTTTTTTTTTTTTTTTATATATATATATATATATAGTACGAAATCTAGCTTTCTCTTTTTCGATTCTCAGTGCCTAGGTTAAGAATCTGATACGAATAATTGAATAATAATTGTATTCAATGATGAATTTCGTATAGTAGAATAATTAGTATATAAGAAAAATATGGTCTAATTTAAATATAATAGCCCTTCATAATCAGTGAGTGGGGGAAAGTCACACTCTCCGATCATGCCATGCTAAATTAAATCCAATTAGATTAATTGATTAATAAATAATTATTCCATTTAATTTGACATATTGGTATTACGGATCTCTTTGTTAGAGGTCCTGTAATTAATAAATTCGTTCAAATATTGGTAATAACACGTCGGTTGTAACTTGACGATATAATGTTGATTTTTTGACGTGTTGAATAATAAATGTATTCGGTGTAATTTTTTGAATAATTCTATATGGTCCTTCATAACGAACATCGAATTTATAACGGATATTGAGTGTTTTCACAAGAACTAATTCACCAATGTTGTAGGTTGGATCAGAACGATTTATATCATAACGTTGTTTATATCGTTCTTGATTTTTAATAATATGAATTTTTGCTTGTTCGTTTAATTTGGATAAAAATTGACTAAGTTTTTTCGCATGTTCAGAATCATATGATACGGTAACGTTTGTATCTTGATGATCGAATGGTAGAAAAGGTGATCGACCGTGCATCATTTCGAATGGTATTTGTTTTGTTGAGGAATGAATTGAAGTATTGTAATTAAATGTAACAAATGATAATTGATCATCCCAATCGGTTTTACGTAAATTTGATAAAGCTGCAATTTTTGCATCCATAGTTGAATTATATCTTTCAACTTGACCGTTAGTTTGGGGATAATATGGTGTTGAATATAAATGTGTAGCTCCAATTTGTTTAATTAATTCAACCATTAACGTTGAAGTAAAATGTGTTCCGGTGTTAGTAAGAATACAACGAGGAGTTCCAAATTTTGAAATAATGTCTTCTTTAAGAAATCTAATAGCTGTTTGAGCTGTATTATCACGTACAGCCTTTGTAACGACGAATTTTGATAAAACATCGGTAAGAGATATAATATATTTGTTTCCACGTTGAGATGTTGGAGTAGTAGGTCCATGGAAATCCATTGATACTAATTGCCATACTCCTTCTGGAGGTTTAATAGGTCTTAAGGTGCCAGGATTTTTTTGTCGACGAGGATTGAATTGTGCACATGGAATACATGATTTAATATAATTATTAATATCTTTGTACATTGATGGCCAAAAATAACGTTGTTTAATTTTATGTATTGTTTTATCTCTTCCGAAATGAGCACCATTTGCTGCAGTATCATGATAAATTCGTAAAATTGTTTTTCGGAAATCACCTTGTGGTACGTAAGGGACTGGAGTCTTTGATCGATGCATTAAAAGATTCTTTTTAATAATATAATTTTTATATTTCTTAATGTTGTTTATAATATTTTTTGCGTAATTATCATTTTGTTGAGCTTGAATTAATTCGTCGATTGAAAATGGAATTGTGCGATTCTCTTCAACAGAAGTGTTTAGAGAATCTGGTATTAATTTTGTTGTAGTTGGAATGTCATTTAAAGTTTTGTTTCGTAATTTCATAGCACGAGTTTCAACAGCTGCGACAATAGATGAATGATTATTAACATTTGAAATATCGGTTTGTGTTGATTTTGAAATAAGATGTATAGTTTCATCAGGATCTTCTTCAGCATCGTCAACTGGAGATCTTGATAAATAATCAGGCATAGAATTTGTTAAACCAGGAATGTATTTCACCTTGAAATCATATTCTAAAATTTTTAATCTCCATCTTTCACATCGTTTATTAACTTGTGCTTTTTTATTTAATTGTGTTAATGCTTTATGATCAGTTTCCCAAATAAATGTAATTCCACTTAAATAATTGTGCCATTTATCTAATGCACATATAAATGCATAACATTCTTGTTCCATAGGAGACCATTTACGTTGTGCTTGTGTAAATTTCTTGGAAAGATATGCAATCGGTCTATCACCTTCGGGATAAATTTGTAATAAAACTGCAGCGATTCCCTCATCCGAAGCATCAGTTTGTACTTTAAAAGAGAATCTATTATTTGGAAGTCGTAATACCAGATCAGTTGTAAGAAATTTTTTAAGTTGTTCGAAGGCTTTAATTTCTTCACTTGTTAATGTAATAATAGTTTTTTGTCTTTTCTTTTTTTGAGTTCGTGTAGTTGGAACAAATTTTCGAAGTGGTTCGGCGATTTGAGAAAAATTAGGTATAAATTCTCTGTAATATTCCGCTGCTTTAACAAATTTACAAGCTTCATCTGCCGTTTGTGGTAATCTTGTATTTAGTAAACCATGTATATTGGTAGGACTTGGACGAATTTCACCATTTTGTATACGATGTCCAAGATAATCAGTTTGTGTTCGAGCAATTTCACATTTTTCTGGATTGAGACGAAAACGAGCTTCTTTTAATATTTGACAAATTTCATTGAGATGTGATAAATGTTCTTCGAATGTTTTTGAGTATATAATTACATCATCAATATATGCTAATACATATTTCCATCGTGTAGGACCAAAATATATGGTTAATAACACGTTGAAATGTTGCTGGACCATTTGTTATTCCTTGTGGAAGAACTGTAAATTGATAATGCTTATCACGAGTTGAGAATGCAGTTTTAGGTCGGTCCTCTTTAGATAGAGGTACTTGGAAATAACCAGATTTAAAATCGAATTTTGTGTAATATGTTGCATCAGATAATTGATCAAAAATTTCATCAATACGAGGTAATGGAAATGCATCTTTAATTGTAATAGCATTTAATCGTCGATAATCAATACAAAATCGCATAGTTTTGTCTTTTTTCTTAACAAGAACGATCGGTGATGACCATGGTGAAGTTGATTCTTCAATTTGACCACGTTCTAATAATTTTTGTGTTTCTTGAAATTTAATTTCTTGATCTTTAGATGATGCTGGATATTGTTTTGAATAGATAGGTGGATGATCAGCAGTTTTAATTGCTGATTGTGGAGGAATATTAATAATTGATGATGTAGGATCAAATAATATTTTATTTCGCCATAAAATATCTTGAATTTCTAATCGATGTTTTGGATTTTCTATATGTTTAGTCGATTCGAATATTTGTTTTCGAATCTGTTCGGAATAACATTCTGTTCGTAAGTGTTTTTGTAAATCATTTCCAGATAAAAAATGTTCGTTGCAATGATGACAAATAATGTTTAATTTTTCTTGATTCGAGTTGTCCCTTTTACGTAAGACAGCTCTGGATTTTAAATTGTTGTAATGTCGAGTTGATGTTTGATGACGTTCGTTTAAAATAGAATTATTTTTTGTTGGAATTTGTGTAGTTGCATGTATAGTATATGTTGCATCACGGGAGATGGTTCCGATTCGTGTATTTTTTGATAATGTTTGTTGTCGATTTTATGCATTTATTAGTAATACTTTGGCTTGATTTTTATTGATATTTAATAATGTATGTGGCATGAAAATAAATTTTGATATATGACGTTCATAAGGTTCAAATATAAGATTGTGTGCATTGTTAATTTGACATATTATATCAACTAATTGTTGTGAATATGGTGGAAGAGTAATTTGTCGAATTAATAATGCTGGATAATTAATGCATGTCGGCTCCACATATGGAATTGAAATTAATTGATCATGTTGATCAGGAATAGTTAATTTTTTCTGGTCACCATAAAGGTGAACATGATTCGAATTAATCCAATCATTTCCTAATAATATTGATGTAATTAAATTTGTTGCAACACAAGCAACAACATAAGTTGTTATCGATTTGATTTTTATTTCTAATTTAATTTGGCCGATTATATTAAGTGATGTTGAATTTGCTGTTTGACATGTATGATTTTTATAAATAAAATTTTTGTGATGAATAGTTTTAAGAAAATTTAAATGAATGATTGAGATGGCGGAACCTGTATCAACAATTGCTTCAGTTGGTTGATCATTAACACGAATCTTGATGTAAACAGGAAATGATGTTATTGTTGATGGCTTTATAAATTTACTGGGAACACCGCCATCATGTGACCCAGCTATTGAAAATTTGGAGGTAATGTACAATCACGGACATTGTGGTTTTGACCACAATTAAAGCATCCGGTTGTACGTTTATAATAACAATCAAGTGTTCGATGATTGTTACGACCACAAACTTTACAGTCGTTGAATTGATGTTGTGATAGTGGTTGACTAGTGCTTAGTTTCTTCTGTGATATCGATTGTGGTGGATAATTTCGAATTTGTTTTCTATCAGGTGCCATGAATGTTCGATTTCCAAGTGTTGGAATCGAGTTCCGCTGAGAAACGGAGCTCTGTAATTGTGTTGAGTGTGAAACAGGATTGTTGTACTTCATTGTATTATAATACTGTTTTGGTTGATTAACTGCAGCAGTTAATGATGGAATTGATGGGTGATTATGATTAAAATGACGTTGTTGTGAATCAAGTGATAGACTACCGAATGTATCATGTAAATCTTGTTCAATTTTTGCATATTTTAAAAATTCATTTAATGTATTGATAGATGATTCATGTCTTAATAATTCCTTCCGAAAATCAGGATTGATTCCACTCATTAAATATTGAATTATAATTTTTTCTGACATATTTGAATCAATTTCTCGGCATAAATTAATAATGTCGTCGAAAAAAGACGTAATCGGTTCATCCGGTAATTGTTTACGTTGTTTTAATGTATCAAATTTCTTGTGAGTTGATGTTGTAGAAAAATATCGATTTCGAAATGC